AACCTCCTCAAAAAGTTGGCCTTGTTATAATCTTGTAAAAGTATCATCTAGTAAAATTTTACAACCTTCATCAATAGCTCACTCTCTTTGGATTGAGTTGAATCCCATTGGTGCTACATGTGGCAAGTCGAGGGTGCCTCGATTAATGGCTGCTGTAGCACAAGAAGAGGCGGTCGAGGCAGCTTCAGTGGAGGAGGAGAATGGAAATGAAGAGACAAATGAAGGAGAGGCTGCTGAGAGTGCTACTGCGAACACTAAGCTTTACTTTGGAAATTTGCCTTATCTTTGTGATAGTGCTCAACTTGCTGGAATTATTCAAGAATGTGCTAGTCCAGAGCTGGTTGAGGTTGGTAAATTCACTTTCATGTAGCAAAATAAGCATTCACGATATACAAAGATTTGAAAATATTTGATCGTGAAAATTGAACTAGACGAATGCTGACAGCAATTTGATTCATTATTAAATTCCCACTGTAAAGTTGAACCACCCTTTCAGTTACATAACAATTTTCCCTTCGTAATATGAAAAATTGAGAGGGAGGCTGAATATGAAATCATGCTCCTGATATTCCATTTTTATTCGATAATTTCAACATTTGGCGCACTTAAATCCTATCAATATTAATACTAGGCAATCAACTTATCGAAAATAAATGGCAAGAAATGAAGTCTCCATGACCTGTCACAACTGAGGGAAATGCAGCCATAACATTTTTAGGGTTGCCAAACGCCGAAACCAGTGACTTCTTTCCCCTTTATAGCTGCTACGATTTTAGATCTCGTGGCTCATTGCTAAATGTTGTGCAATTTCACATCATCTGTTTATGTTGAGTATTGTTATTTAACATAATTAGTGTTTAACACCAATTTAAATGGTAGTGGCATTAAATGAAATGTTCAATTAAATCACGTAATTTCATCTTTAATTGAACCTATCACACCATGCCTCATAGACTGGTGCTAGATAACATTATTTGTTTGTGTTTGCAATCATCAAAACATTCAATGCTTTTGTTTTTTCAATTTTACATAAGATGAAGATGATTAAGTAGTACTCTTGCTATGTTGTCTATGACTATGTTCTATTTCTTCACAAATTAAGGTAATGTCATTTGTCACTAATGAGTGCAAGTTTTCTAGGTTCTCTACCATAGGGATACCGGAAAAAGCAGAGGATTTGCGTTTGTGACCATGAGCAGCATTGAGGATTGCCGTAAAGTCATTGAAATTCTAGATGGAAGTGTAATAATCTTATCCAACTGTCCATATCTGCCTCATTCTTTTAAATCCTAATACACCTTGATCATCTTTAGGAATTACTTCTGATATGAACATTATTTACTTGTTTTGTTACAGGAATATGGCGGTCGAACCTTAAGGGTGAATTTCTCTGACAAGCCTAAACCAAAAGAGCCATTGTATCCAGAAACTGATTATAAACTTTTCGTGGGAAATCTAGCCTGGGCAGTCACATCAGAAAGTTTGACACAGGCATTTCAAGAATATGGAAATGTCATTGGAGCGAGAGTTCTATATGATGGGGAAACGGGAAGGTCTCGTGGCTATGGATTTGTATGCTATGACACTAAAGCCGAGATGGACACTGCACTCCAAGCCCTCAATGGAGTGGTATAAATTCGTCTTGAAACTCATTATGCGCATATTCATCGCCAAAAGAATTTCACTAATTTGCTAAGCTAGATGTTAAATTATATCTGCATTTCTTGATTCTTCAGGAATTAGAGGGGCGTGTAATGCGTGTTAGCCTAGCACAAGGGAAGAAACAATAAGATGACGAGAAGATTAGTACACATTTGTTGAAGGTCTAGAATACGATTGACTAGACAAACGGAAAACTATATGGATCTACCTCTGCTGCAAATGCAACTTGTTGATAGAGGAATGCTTTTGATTTCTTGTTTTGCTGATACTCGATTTTTCTGCAGAACCACTTTGTATGGAAATTTCAGGTACATGTATTCCCTTTGTTAGAGCCTAGAGGTGATCCAATTTTGTGTTGGATATCAACATGTTGTTTACTGTTTTTTTCTCTAAAGAGGTTAGTGTTCATAAGACTAATGCGATTTGAGTATAAAAATATGTTAAAGAGAGAGGAGCAGACCAAATATAACATGGCATGTTACTCGTTGCTAAGAATCTATTTGATTTCTAGCAAGAAACCAAATAGTGGAAGGCGAGGACACTAGGACAGTATATAACCTGACATGCCATAGTTGCTAAGAATCTCGTTCCTTTATATACTTCTATAGATTTAGAAATGAAGCGTGCAAAATCGTGGAATAAGATTATGGGCTTGTCTGCTGCTGATTAAAATGTCCAAAAGAATGGCTTTTCTGACCGTTGAAGAAGGCAACGGTCAAAAAATCAGCATTTCTGATAGATTGTTGTGTCTAACGGTCAGAAATTAACGGCTCAAAAAGCAATTCTTGTGAAGGAAAATCAGCAGCAGACAAGTTCTATGTAACTGACCTCAAATTTATGGAGAAAAGGCACAGCTTTTTGTTGTATTATAGCATTCCCTTTGTATGGTTCATATATTTGAAGTCTAATCTTAAGTACATTCTTGCCATGAAATTAGTCTCACTTTACAATCTAAGGATAATGAACATAATGCAGAGGTAGAATTAGGCTTGTGAAGGGATTAAATTCTGGAAGAGGTAGAATTGGTTTCTAATTCTTTATTTCTCTAAATTCTGTCAAAATAATTTCCAAATTATTTTTGAGTTTCGCCTTCGATAACTTGTTAAATATAAAATGAGCATAATGTTGGCAACTATATATCCATTGCAAGGATTCAAAATCTACTAGTAAATATGATTTACAATTAAGAGTGTAGTTATTTTGTGGAATCTTCAATATAACTTGAGAATTGAAAGAAATTAGAACTTTTAATGAAGTTGGAAGTGTGATGGCTTCAAAGATTTTGGAAGGGTTCCCTATTTGGTGATAACCATGATTTAATCAAGATTGCTAGCTACAAATCACATGGCATAGAATGTAGTATGTAATGGTAAGTCTAGGCATCCGCCGAGACATAATAATATTTGAGAGTTGCTCTCAAATTAAACGATGCTGATTGTTTTATTGAAGGATATCCTAACACATCCGTTTATAAATGTGTTATCTAGAGAGAATAAGCTACGCATCGATGGAAATAGGTGTAAAGCCTAAACTAATAGTCAGCTTAATGGAGACCTAATGTGGGGACTGAAGATTCTACAAACTAGGTTCAATAGGAAAACTAGTGATTATTGACTCGATGAAAAGCACTTTAGATTTTTAACTCATCCCCATTTATGTTATGCAAATTAGTGTTGTCTACCAAAGATCGATTATGATAAGTTATGCTTTTATTGATGACTATAATTGTAAAAGGTACAAGTGAAGTATTTTAGGGTACTCTTTATAGAACATCACATATGTCAGTGCAACCTTAGTCGATTCTATGAGAATTTTACTTAGGCAAATTCTCTAGTGCACTTACAGAACTAAGACGGTTCAGGGCCAAAATAATGAACACAATGAATAACCAAAGTTTGATATGATAGATAATGTATTTAATCTATTGTTTAGGCTTACAACAACGGCCGACAATTCAAAGAGTGGCATTCATTGATTAGCCAAGTAGGTTCGATAGATTCTTACTGGGGAAGATTCAAACGAAAGCTACTGATCCTGATGCATTATATTTCAGTTGTACTCTTCTTCGTCTTTCTTGTTCTGAGTCGACTTCTTTCATTCATGTGGGGGATTGTTGAAATTAATGGTTAAATTATACGATTTAAATGTGTGAATTGAAAAAGTCTCCAAACGGTTTGTCTACTAGACACAACTTTTCAAATGCAAATGGTCCATATCAAAGAGCTGTTTCGAATGTGTGTGGCCTTTTAATAAAGTGAGATCTAGATCATCAATTTTAAAATGATGTGATCTAGTGGTTGGAATTAATTTTGCTAAAAGATACGACCATTTGAAGATATTCATGAAAATATATAAATAGGACCCTCCTAATTCCATTTTCTTCACTCCAAATCAATTCCTCATATATAGTCAAACGTTGGTTCGCTTGACAAATTAATATTGTGCTATATTAATTTTGGAAGAGCTGTTGTATCTTGAGAGACAGACGTCTATTTGATCATGTTAGCACCCGTGCATGAGGCCAAATCCGTCTTAAGGAGATTTGCATTCGTATACCTCGCTTTATTTTATATCGCCCTTTTTTCTACATTTGAGTAAGTCATGATTTGTTCCTTGTTATGCACATACTATTGTTTTGATAAGTTGTTACTCTATTCTATTTGCGTACTCATATTTTTTATTAGCGGAATATAAATTATGTACCAATTTGTCCAACAATCAAAAATCGAATAAACGAACAAAAAGAAAATGATCAATCATTTGGTTGAAATGTCATATAATTTAATATAAATCCATTAGTTATATATAATATTAATATGGATTTTTTACTACTCATTTTCAGAAAAATGGAAACTTGGTGGTTGTATGATAGAAAATAATATTCAATGTCTGGAAGGAACTTAAATGATTAAGTTTATTAATAAATTTTAATTTTTGTTGACAATTTTTTTATATATGATGGAGGGATGTCAAAGAGGCTTCTTAAGTCCCAAACAGACCCTCCTACATTTATATATAAACAAACGTTGATTTATTAAGAATGCAAATGAAAACTCTTCAAATTATGAATTTTTACACAATTCGTTGAGATAAACTAATAAAGAGGTTATAATAGAAAATG